ACTGTATGGGTTATTTTAATTCGCCATGTAAAATGTATCACTTAATTTTGACCCCCAAATAGCGTGATTCTGTCGGTGTTGAAGTTCAATGTCAGGGCTTAAATCAGAGCGAGCGATATTCTCTGTTTGTTACGCCGTCCTGATAAGCCACAATAATGGCGAAACAGCTGTCGACGACTACAACCCCGCTTTGTTTAGGGTTCTTTCGGTGTCGTGTTGATGTCTTGCAAAGTTTATTTTCACGTAATTCTATAAGCTTTGCGGAATTCAATGTGTCTACTTTTCTGTACTTTGTATGAATTTGGCTGATCAGGTCTTCTTATAGATCCTATTTTCTGCGGCAAATTCGTTTGCGGTCTTTTTGTAGTTCATGTCTAATTTAATGTACAGAGAGGACCATACAAACGATTGTTGGATCAACCTCCTCCGGCTCCCAATAATTACGATTGTAACCTCTAGTCTATATAATCATATTATTTCTTTATGCAACAAGGCCTGTAATAAAGGGTTGAGAATCGAAAAACTTGCAAAGTGTAGGTATATGATACCAATGTTGAGATTTCGTTATTTTCAGCTTCTCCTTTTGCCAGGCTTTTATAGCATTGTTTTTTTCCTGGTGTTTTTATTTTTATTTAAAAAAAGTAAAAATAATATTAACCCTCGGACGTACAAGGGGGTGGATGCCACCCCCTTCCGAGGTTTTTCTGAGGTTTTTCTGAGTTTTTTCCTAGAGGCCAAAACATCAGCACCTGGTGTTTTCAGTAGTTGTTCGTTCATCCCTTGCGCTCATTTTGAGTCGAGTTCAGTGATGGTCAGTTTATGCTTGATTGCCTCCTCCAGGACACCTAGGGTCCTCAATCCTTCTCTAAGCTGGTCAAGCAAGACCTTTTTCTTGCTTAAGACAAAATGCACCAGAATGGATTGCACAATATCTGTTTTATTTTCTGCCTGTCAAACAGAAAAGTGACATGAGCTATATGTAGATCTTAATAGTTACATTACTTTGACAGACAGTTTTGATGTCACAGATTCTAATAGAAAGAAATGATCATGATCATCACCGCCAGTAATGTTGAATGTCAACACTTACTATACGCATGTTTATTATTTTTTACATGCATATGCACCCAGGGTTTTTGTTATGGTTGTGGATTGCAGGGACAGAATTTGCATTAGCAGGGGCAAAGGTAGGGAGGAAGGTTTGGGAAGGGGTACTAGCCAGCTACTCTGTAAATTTGAGAATTGATTAACTTGATGTATGTATGTTACTCCCTCCATATGACAGGGGCCAGGGGACCTGGCTCGGGAGAGGGGGGTACTGCCATGTATGGGCTATATAGGTATGTGCTGCTGTGAAGGGTATGGTTTTCAAGCAGTTCACTCTGGGATAGGGTATATAAATCAGAGAGTTTGGGTCTAGAGGGTATCATTTTCCATTTAAACTGATCAATTGGCTGAAGATTTTAGTCTAGAGTAGGGAAGCCAGGAATTGCCACTCAAGAATATAAAAAAATCAAATCGGTTTTGTTTTAGCTGGACTGTGCTGGTGACCTCAGTTGTTTCTGGAAAACAGCTCCTCTACGATAGGGGGGGATTTGCAGGGTTTGAGCCAGGCCGCGCCATTGCGCCAATCCCGCACTGCAATTAAAAAACGGCCAAGGGGACAATTTGTCCCCTTCAAACAAAATTTAGGGAAAAAACTCGAAAGGAAGCACACACGAAGAGATTTATTTCAGTACAGAAATTGCAAGCCGAAACAGAACGTGGAAAGTATATTTTATCACACCTATAAAGTTCATTCCAAAGTTACGTTTCAGTCACGCTCTTCTGCTATTTTTGTCGGAAATCTAAGACAGGGTTTCCGATTCTTCGCGCGGTCGCGGAGCCGCGAAGTTCACAAAAACACGAAAAATACCGCGAAATTCGGTAGAAATCTTATCAAATACATGTCTGTACAACATCTTTGAAACTTATTTCACTATAGGGGCTATTTACTTGCCGTAAACTTGCAAATTTATCTCGGAACTTCGTCACTGAAACGTGCAAACAGATTATGTTGCGAAAAACTGGGCACTAGCCATGATATTAAAGGCTTTGCCATTGGTTCATTTCTGGAACGTATTGTTGTTGAAAGAGCAAATGATGACCTCTGTTAGAAAAACGTTAAAAAGGCTGGTCTGATCAGCGCAAAACCGATCGATTTCTATCTTAATTTGCCTTGAAAATAACCACAAAATCGGCCGTTTTTTACCGATTGCTTTCCGGTGAAGTTTGCCCCGAAAACTCCCGCGAAATCGGCCGATTTTTCCGCCAATTTGTCCCTAAAAATCCCGCAAAATTTGACTTTTTCTTGCGAGACCTATCAGAAGCCCTGCTAAGAAGACAAACTCCTTTGCATCAGCAGAAGGGTGTACAAATTTCTGTCCCCCTAAAAATGAAAATGTCCCCCAAAATTTTTGCCAAGGCGACAAATTGTCCCCCAGTGATCAAATCCTAGCTCAAACCCTGGATTTGGGTAGCAAAATTCAGTTGAACTAGCTCTGGTATAGGCTAAGGGTTCCAGGGTCCCAGCGGCCAGGTCTCCCTCCCCGGGGACCTGGCCCAGACAAATTTTGAAATTTCAACACCCAAAGGGGCCGCACATTTTAGGCTACTTTTGACATTTTGTAACAATTATATTATTGGTTGATTAAGTCACCCTGTCTTCATATCCCAAGTTTTATGAAAAACTGCACTTCCTTTAAAAAAGGTTTCTTTAAATAATAAGTACAAGCAATAAAAGAAGCTTCTGCTTACTGTGAGCTTAGATGTGCAACCAGCATCTGAACGTAAAACTTCAAAACCAGCATCCTCATTTATACCACTGAGTTCTTCATCTGCCTCTGCCCGTAAAATCTGATGTGAACAATAATTTTGAAAATACAACGTTGTTAATATTTATTCTTTGTTTACCATAATCTACTTACAAAATCAAAATCCCACCTGTGAGGGTGTGAATGAATGTTAACCCCACATACATATACATCAACCCGAGATCAGGTGCTATTTTCATTATACTTGGTAAAACTACACAAGAGAATGTACAACAACATGTTAAAATTGGGCCAGGTTAATTTCCTGGTCTCTCTCCTAGCTATTCCGCCCTTGTTGTTGAGGAAAGAGTGTTTCAATCTCTCAACGAAAGGGGAAGCACAGAAGAAGAAGAGAGTTGACACTGGGAACAAGGTAAAAATAGCATTGAAAATAGGGTCTGATGGGCTTACTGTAGTTTGCGAAACGAAATGGAGCGAAACGAAATGGAACGAAACGAAATGAAAATCTGTAGTTTGCGAAATGAGAATCTGGAGTTTGCGAAATGAAAATCCTCTGGAGAATGCCGACTTTAAATTCAGCGTGAACAACGAACGAGAAGAGTCGTTAGCACAGCGAAGGCAACGCCGACAACAAGAGTCAGAGGAATAGGAGATTGGAATCTGAGGCATTATGATCGTTTTATACTTACTGTAGTTTGCGAAACGAAATGGAGAGAAACAAAATGAAACGAAACGAAATGGAACGAAACGAAATGAAAATCTGTAGTTTGCGAAACGAAAATCCTCTGGAGAATGCCGACTTTAAATTCAGCGTGAACAACGAACGAGAAGAGTCGTTAGCACAGCGAAGGCAAAGCCGACAACAAGAGACAGAGGAATAGGAGATTGGAATCAGAGGCATTATGATCGTTGCGTCTACTCGGATATTCTAAACAGCCCTGTTGGTCGGGGTTACGAACTGGATGGGTGACTCACTGTGAAGATCGTCTTAAACGTCCATACCTTGTTCTTTCTTTTCTTCTTCTTCTTTTTTGCGTATTATGTGGTGTTACTGTTAACAGTGTATTGAAAAGCAGATTTAGCATTTAGCGTCTGCATTTAGAAAAAGAAAAAACAAAGAACAAATATGGCCCGGTGCAGTTCGCCCGAAAGTTATTATTCTTCGGGCCGTAATACAGAGCTCGAACTTTGGAGACTTTGATCTATATATCGGCGGGGAAGCCGGCAAACTAAGAAATCTGGGTTTTCGACAGTGTAAAACGATCATACTGCCTCCGATTCCAATCTCCTATTCTTCTGTCTCTTGTTGTCGGCGTTGCCTTCGCTGTGCTAACGACTCTTCTCGTTCGTTGTTCACGCTGAATTTAAAGTCGGCATTCTCCAGAGGATTTTCATTTCGCAAACTACAGATTTTCATTTCGTTTCGTTCCATTTCGTTTCGTTTCATTTCGTTTCGCTCCATTTCGTTTCGCAAACTACAGTAAGCGGGTCTGATGGCACTCAGTGAAGGTACTTGAAAGTGTTTTTTATGATCAAGCTAGTAATTAAGCTATTGAGAAGGGTGGTTCATGTATGAATGGTTGTAAGTTTGCTTTGATGCCCCAGAAAATAGATGACTGAAAAAAAGCCATCATTTTGTTCGAAATGTTTAGTTTGACACTATAGACAAATCTATTAAGACAAAAGAGTGATTAACGTGCTTTTGAGGTACCAACTAAATTAATAATGTGTGTTGTTAATTTTAAGATATCTTAATATCTTTAAAATACACTAATTAAGTGACTTTTTTTTAAACTCGTGCACCCTTTAACCCATTTGTGACCCCCTGAGCTGTCCAAGAGGAACAAAAAAGTCGGCCGACAGTTTTTTGGGGGAGCTGTTCTTCACTTTTTTCAAAAAGTGAGCCAAAGACAGCTATTTCATTATTATATTTAAGCTTCACAAGCAGTTTTTCAGCTAATGTTTCAGGAGCTAATGAGTTTAGGTAATAATAACTACTGTAAGAATACCCTTCCCGTTAATACAGCTGCATCTGGATCCCTGATGACTGTAAGGTTTGCATATGCCAGGGCCTTAGAAACATCTCCAGAGATCAAGTACCAGTAGCAAACTGGGGAGAATACAGGTAGACCAATGCCACACTGGACGATAGAGTTAGTGCTATCATTTTTCCTAGAGTTTTCATCATGCCCGAAAACACAGTACTAGCATTATGAAAAGGCATAAGGCGCCCAGCTTGGCCCTCAAACAACTTGTATACTGTGGAGCATGCAAGTGTTTTATAAACTAAAGAATACATCTCCTTTCTGGGACCTCCACTGTCCACGGCTGGTTGGTCTTTAAAGACTACCCTCACTGGTCGAGAGGGATCAAACTCAGGATCTTTGTACAGAGGTAATATGTCTGCAAGGACATCACACTGATCCACAGTTATTCTTCTGGGTGCTCCAGTAAGCTTTTTGCCTAGTTTTTCCAGAACTGATGACAATTGGACATCTGGCCTCGGTTGTTCAAAAGGTGGATAGCACTATCTACTGGATAAATCACTATCCACTGGATAACGCAATTGGTTTTCCTAACACTTATCCGTTGGATAGTGATTTATCCGGTGGATAGCGTTATCCAACTTTTGAACAACTGGGGCCTGCAATAAATCAAATAAATTAAATAATATCAAAGCCCGGAAGAATATATAATATTAGATTGACAATCAAACTGATGATAACTTCTCTCAGTTGCTACAAAGCTGTATTATGCTACATGCAGGTTAAATAAAAAAAAAACAACCCACATTTTCCCATCATTTGTAAATTTTTTAGTTGTATACCTATGAGAAAAGCAGGAAAATGCTAAGTAATTGTTTCCTATAATGAAATGACATATATACGCCAATAACTGCAGTTTTTTTAATTTATCTAGCCTGTTTTATATATTTTATTATGTATAGCCTATCCAATCCTTGGCAGGTTCAGTGCAACAGCATCATGCAAATAACAGTCTCATACCCCCATAAGTAAAGGTTGACCACACCACTGGGGTCTACAGCAAACAATGCAACATTATGGGTTCTTTTTTTCCCAGAAGAACAGGTCAGAGAAAGGGCTGTGGGACGGGGCCTGTGGTTTAATTTTCATTCTTATATGAGGAGACCTTCAAAGGTGACACATTCTCCTTAGTTATTTTAAGACCCTGAGTAGTGGTCCAGTCATAGGTTTGAAAACACAACCTCTGGAGAGACCTGCAGCCTTCCAACTGAGCGAACCAAGTGTCACTAATAAACAATGGTTATGTAACTACTTTTACCCCTGGTAATAATTTATTACCATACCTTTGCCTACATCATTCTCTCTAGCCTATCCTTCCATGGATGCAACATCAAGATTTCATCATCATCCTCATCTGCTGTACATGTAATAAACAACAAAGGGATTGAAATTATATTAGCAGACTTCAACAGGCTTAAACTTGGCTTTAATTCCATTGCAAATAAGAAAGGTTTTCCCCATGACTTACAAACCTCTTACACTTTGATTGAGAATTACACCTGCTGCTTCATTTATATCCCCATTTACTGCTTCAAGGGCATTTTCCACTTCCGACACAGGCATATCTGGAAAAAGCTGTTGAAGGTTCTGTACTGGTTCTATTCAACACAAGATACAAAATACCGTTCAGCAAAGAGTGAAAAATGAAATCAATGATAAATTTAACAGCTTTCAAGGCATTTCATAGGAGAGTAGTTCAGCAAAAACAACTTGACAAAGACTTTCAGAACCTCAAAACTAAGCTACACAATTTTTCAAGAACTGATACCAGCAGCATCATGGGAAAGGTATTGTTCAATCCCCTGATCTCTGCAAAATAATAATAATAATCATAATAGTAAGTAAAAACATTGTACATTTTATCAATCTAGTCGTGTACTTGCATGAAATGATCATCTGTACCAATACCGTAAAAGTCTGTGTATAAGCCACACATGTAGATAAGATGAATACCAATTTTGGAAGGTAAGATTTTGGAAAAATATATATATATCTATAATTAGGCAACAAAGCTTGTAGTTCCCGCCAAGTCAAAACAAAGAAAGACAAAAACAAATGGTGAACACTGACATGCAGAGCAGTTAATGTTGTGATCTTTTCATTCATGAGTCTTAAGATAGCAAACTTTCATTTGATGTACCTTCTTTTTGGTTTTTCAATTCACTTCGTTTTGAATTTAAAATGCTCCTTTTACCTGATTTTTTTCAAGATTATCACTTCCAAAGAAGCCATGAACGAACAAATGAATAAATGGATGCTTAGTAGCCAAGGTGAAATTGTGAGGAGCAGCCTGTGAATAATAACACACAAACAGCGAAAAAAAAGTAGGCCATTTGCCTTGCAAGTACTTTCAAACTTCATGCATGCATGTAGCCTGTTCCAGGTGTTCAGATGGTAGAGCACGGCGGTAAGTGGGGAGCAAGTTAAGTTGTACACCGGGAAAACGTTTTTTTTTTTGCTTCGTGAATTTTTCTCCCGCGCTCTACTATCTGAACGCCTGGAACAGGCTAGCATGCATGTGGCTGAAAGATATCCATAGAGGGGACTAGCCGCAGGCGTAGTTGCAAACAGCTTTGTGGAGCAATGGAGATTCGTAGTAGTTTAGTGTTAAGTTGTTCAAATACAATGTAGTTTTAAAGAACTCTTGGAGGACAAGATGTGTCAATCGATAAACATTCGACGATGGTGCCACATAGATAAGTCACCCCCCCTTTTTTACTTCAAACTTGAGCAAAAAGGTGCGACTTATACATCAGGGCTTTACGGTATGTAATGTACATAACCTTTTGTATGTCATTAGCAAGGATCCTCACTGGAACCAAGATGTCTTATGATTTGAACACCTTACCTCAGTCGTAGGGCATGTTTTATTGGGATCAATCATTTCAACCAAAACTGGTTTTGGTTGAAGTGGTTGAAGTTACCATTATAGAACACTTTTTCAATCTTTTTTGGTTGAAATGCAGTTGTGACTGGGTATAAGAGTCAATCCTAGACTTCCAAGACTTCTTCTTGCGCAAAATTAATATTGCTCAAAATGACACGAAACTAAAAAAATATCGGTGCCCACTGTCAGATCAGCGTACACTGCCTATCCTTTTCAACTGTTTCAACCACGCTCTGGGCTGGTTGAAAAAGATGATTGACCAAATCAACCAAAAACGGTTTTTTTTCAATAGAAAACTTATTACAAATTAAGTGAGGGTTTTTTAAATAAATTAACAAAATGGAGAAAATTATCAAAAAAACTCCCCTCTGGTAAAAAGACTAGTTCTTTGTTAAAAATGAAGTAAATTTTTCTAGGAACTCAATAAACAGAATGCAATTTTTAAGGCTGTTTTTTTAACCAACCATTTTATATAGCAAGGAAACAATGCCAGCTTCGTCGACTTTTGAGCAATCCTAGCTAAACGTGTTTTACAATCATGACAAATAATGAGTAGGTGCTCAAAACTGAATAATTTAAAAACAGCAAAGGAGACATTGGCAACTCCTGTGACGTCTTGAGACACCTGAGGAGCTCCCCCCTGAGCATGAATCTTGGTGACCTCGCATGTTGTTTATGGGTACCAAAGCATGGCAATTTATGCAGTTAACTTTGGGACTATTATCTTGTGGTTCCTCCTCCTAGAAACAACAGAAAGTTAGACATTGAGAATTTGTAAAGAAAGTGTGCACCCATCAATATTTTAAAATCAATGACACAATTTTTTCTTTTTATCGATTTCTATCTATTGATATTGGAAATCAATATTCATCGATGATTGATATAAATAAGCCACTTGCACTAAGAGGTCATGTGACTAATGCTTCCTTTAAACATTGAGCTGGAATCTTACTTATGCCAAAAATTGACATAGCACATAAAAATTATCTTACACCCGAAATTAGAGAGGAAATGCATTTAAGGGGATATTTTATGGCACTTTGATTTTTCAGTAAAATAGTATGATTTGTATTGGCCGCCATGTTGGAGGGCATGCTCTTGCCCTCCAACATGGCGGCCAAAACTACTTTTTGCCTATATCTTGTTAAACATTTGATAGTTACACTCAGATGTGCTGTAAACGTTAGCACATCATCTTTTCAACATTTTCCTTGAAGTTTTAAGTGCAAAATTTGTGTTCAGAAAGAGGTAATTCATAATTTTCAAAATCACATTTTGGTCACGTGACCAGTTACGAACTTACTCATTTTAAGAAAATGGTACTAGTTTGAAAAAACCAAATCACTATTATTTTGTTTATGATATGACCCACTAACCGTTTTTCGAAGGCAAAATTATATAACTTTCATTTTCATAAAAACGATGTCACATGACCTCTTAGTGCAAATGGCCTATTGCCATAGATTATCGGTTTATCGATTAACTACGTTTGGAATTCTTCGAGAGGGAAAAAAAAAGGGCTAAGAGTGGGTGGGGCTTTGCAATGAAATATGAATAATTAAGTATAGATTGCCCATCAACAAAACCTCTTTACATGTACATAAATATTATCCACCACGTTCCCTCCATACCCAGCAGACAAGTTTGAACTTCTCACCTTGTCAGAGAAGTCGGCATCTGGCTTTCCCAAAAGTGGAATATCCTCTTGCAAAGGTCGTAGATATCCCTTTGCTTGACCGAGCACACTTTTCAAATATGTTACAGTGCACCCGTTCTGTGGCATAGGTATGAGTAACAAATCTTTAGAACGACCATCCCCTGCTCGGAGCAGCTCGTAACCTGCGCGAAGCGCGGGAAAAGCATTCGAGAATCTTTTTCATGAACATTCCCGCATCACCGTCTTTCGGGAAAATAATTTTTTCTCACCCAGCCCATTCAAATTGAGCTCGATCCGCTCGCTGGTCGATGGAGGGCAACCCCCTGACCCGCGTTGGCCAGGCAAATGAAAGACCGCGACCAGGAGGCGTTCGCAGCAGCACGACCATGTGCTTTACCGTTACGACCACTTTGCCTTGAATTTCTCGGGAAATTTCGACCTTGTCTCGAAGATCCCGGTGGCCTGTATCCAAAGATACGGTTGTGCTCTTGCCAAGCACTTTCTGAAACAGAGGGAGCGGTATTTGGAACGGCACGATGTGAGCCAGAAGACCCGCTCGATATGGAGGTGCTGTCGTCAGTTCGCGGACGTGTGTTGGATGTGTTCGATGGTGCGCTTGATGATGCAACGGATCCGCCATTAACTCCTGAACCCCAGATAAAATCCGCTGTTTCAATTAGACGCTGGGCACATTCCCTCAACAAATTGGGATCCATTCGCAAAAACTGAGCTACGCACTCACAAGTTTGTACTGTCAGAATATCATGAAATGGCACAATGATGAAAGCATGCGCGCCTCGAAAGCACGTGGTTGTCGTCAAAATACGTCATGTACGACTACATGTATAACGCCTGATTAGAAGCTTGTTGCAACCGGAACAACACATAGTCAGCAACATCTTCATTAACATCCTGTTCCAATCTTCTCGAAAGATCTATTAGGTGTAGACGAAGGTTTTGCAAGAAATGCGATTGCTCAGGTGTCAAGCTCATTTCTTAGAAAAACGATCAAGGTCGATCAACTCAACGACGAGCGGCCATTTTTGATCGATGACCCGGAGACACTGGAGAGGAGTTTCCAGACTCTTTTCGGGCCTTTCTGGGTAGAAACGCCTGGTTGAAAGTTCGCAAGTCATTCTGTTGTGCAGCGAAAGCGAATTCAAAAGTCATTTTGGGAGTAACTGAGTCGCGATTCGTGTTGGGTGCAGTAAAGCACAATAGTGCGTTTTCTACAGTGACGTGGGTAAACCTAACTCCCCATGTAAAAAAGGATCCTTCGTTTCTTTCATCAAATAATCCTCCTGCTACGTATTTTGCAAGTAAGCATGCAAACAACGGATTTCAAAAGTAATGACGATTTGAAAAAAGTTGTATTGAAGAATTGTTTCATTCATCATAAAATAATCCTACTGCTACGTAATTCTCAAGTAAGAATGCAAAGAGATTCCAAAAGTAATGATGGTTTAAAAAACACGTATTATAACATAACAAAAGTAAATCGCGCGCTCTGATTGGTCAGTTAGCCACTGCTATTTGCCCGTGGGTGCACGCTAAGAAACTGAGCTAGCGCGGTAAAATTTAGGCAAATTCAAGAAATCTCCTCTAGCTCCTGACGCTAAAATACACCGATGAAATGTACAGATGAAAAGTGGAAGGTGAAGAAAATACTAAGCTGTCGTTTTGAAGGAAAAAAGACAAAAGATCAAGCGACAAATTTGCCCTGGATCAATTAATCACTGTTTTCCTCGCGGCTAGAATCGGCTGGAGGAAATTCGAGCGAGCGAAGATTTAAGGTACATTTTGTGTGTTTTTTTTTATAGAGGAGAAAGTCTGTTTGAAATGTGAATTTATCAATTACCATTGTGTTATTGACTTTTTGGTCAAGCTGATGCTAAATTCAAGCAAATATTTTAGGAAACACGCTCAAATTCGAGACAGCTTTGTTGTAAAGTTTTCATCGCATCGATTAACAATTTTAGTTGAGTTTAAACGGGCACATAACGCTGGAATAAGCGAATTTCATTTGAGTACAGAAACATTTGGGTTTTCAAATAAATTTTTCAAAAAAACTTCTTCTGTGTGTATTATTTTGTTCCTCAGTGTTCATTCATAACAGTCGTTCAGGGAACAGTCGAAAAACAACAGCTTCAGCGCCGGCTGTGTGTCGGCGAATTTCAGTTGACTTTCATAGCTGGATTTCCCCAGACAGATTTCGATACAAAGCTAGTTAATTTCTTTTTAAAATTAGTGTTACCTGTTATTCTAAAGGAATCGTCATTACTGTCAAATTTTCTCATTTCTACTTTACGGTTATTTCAAAAATTGTCACATAAATAAGCTTGATAATTATTTCAGTTATTTAGTTTTAGCTTATTTTTAGAGTCTTTTAGTTGGTGTTTATAGTTGCAGATATAGTTTTCCCTCAAAGTTTTTACCCTAATATTAAGAGCAAGTAGACAGATGCCATTCACAATAACGACAAAAACGTTTTGCAATTTACCTGAAGACGGAGAACGGCTGATTCAGCGAAAGAAAAACTCAAAGGCAAGTTTTTGAAAAACATAGAACATGATTTGTTTACGCGCGGGCAGATGGCAGCATACATGAACTCCGACCGATGACTCAACTGAAGGCAAATGGAAAACAATGTTTTTCTCTTTTTGATTATGTTATAAAAGAAATGGTAAACGTTGCAGCTGTGCAACCATGGAGTTATGGATGCACTTGGGAGGTTTGCTAAACAGTCAAGAGCTAGAGTCGCACTCGGCTATCGCCTCGTGCGACTCTTACGCTTCTTTCGTGCTTAGCAACCTCCCGCGTGCATCCATAACTCCATGGTTGCACGCTGCACGTTTACCATTTCTTAATTTACGAAATTGATCATCGAATAATCCTTCGCAAGTAAACATGCAGAAAAGTGATTTCAAAAGTGATGCGGGCGAGTTTAAAAAATCGTATTTAAGAAATTGCTTCATTTGGTTCCATAGAAAGCATGCAAAAAGATTTCAAATTAAAGTAATTATGCATGCACGTAAACCATTCTCAGATCAGTTCGAGTAAGAAGGGTGGATTTGAAAGTCATGACACGACGAAAGGATTTCATCGCAAGACAGCACGTCAAGAAAACAGGTCATAAACCGACAATCATCATCTAAGATAATCATTTATTTGGCAATTCAGTTTGTGTGGTAACTATACACTTATTTTTTGACCCTGAAAACGCGCCATAATTTTTAAGGTCATTATAAGAAAGTTTTCGTCATCTTTATTTTAGCTTAGTCGAGTGCTATCAAATAAGCGAATTGGGCTAACCATGGAGACATGTTTTTTCAACGATGAGCTAATCCGAAGGACGAGCACCTGTCGACGGCAGCAATAATTTCTTTCTACACTGTTCCTCTTTTTTCTTTCTAGCGTTACCATTATCATTATCGTTGGCGTTGTTAAGATTACTTGCTTATTTACTTACCAGCTGACAACGTTTTCAATACAAGAACTTTGCTGGTTGGACCGTGGCCGACTTTGTTCAATCCATTTATCTTGATTTGATATCTAGTGGTTGACGGAAGTCTATTAATGACAGCCTCTGTGACGTTTCTTGTGACATTCATTTCCTTATATGACTGGGAACCAAGGGGATTGTATCTTATCCTGTAGCCTAGCAGTTTGTCCTTGTACTTCGTTGGGAAGATTCTTTCCCACCAGATGTATAAAGAAGATGAATTGAGAGGATAACCTTTTACCAACACGGGAGCATTCTCCGGAACTAGTGATAAGGAAAAATAAAATATATTATGCGACAAACAGCTCAAACTCCCGTCTTTCTTGGGAGTTATCGTTATCATTTATGTGCATGCATTGTTTATGATTAGTGGATATTTTTTTTCAGTTGGCTTTCAACGACCTGCTGCTACCAAGTTCTGTCACTGGCCTCAAGCTCTACGGTGAGATGGTCGTTGATGTGTTACGCAATTCTTATTCAAGATGTACGGCCGACATATTTCATAATCCTTCCGCTCAGGGAATAAAACGGCTAAAGAATAAATTTGCTTTTGGGCGGCTGTAATACCTTGGCCAGATTAATGATTGTGCATTTTTCTTGTCCGAACTATATGTATTAGATAATGTCAGGGGGAAAGTGTAAGCAAAGATCATCGGGATGCTCCCATCATTGAAGCCTTAAAAACTCTTATTACATATCATTTCTCATGTTCTTAAGGCTGATCGTGAAAAAAAGGCATTTGTGGCCAGCGCAAACAAAACGGAATAAGTAGCAATTCTATTGCAACTTAGCGACTTGTTTTTAAATAGCACAGCCCATAAATGACGTATGTGTGACTTATTTTCAATGTTAAGTTGACTTTTGTCATTTTGTCCTTTTATGACAAAGGTCCGATAAACAAGACATTTTAGTCACAAAACAATCAAAGACAGGAATTCGCCAATGCTTATGGCATTTTTTCAATCTGGCTTTCAGTTCTATAAACTACATAGGTCCAGCGCTATTTAGATGCATGGGCACTGAATTTATTCTCTTTCTTTTTTTTTCTTTCTACCATTATCATTATCATTATCGTTGTCGTTATTTAGATTACTTGCTTAAAAACTTACCAGCTGTCAACGTTTTCAATTCAAGAACTTTGCTGGTTGGTCCGTGGCCGACTTTGTTAAATCCATTTACCTTGATCTGATATCTAGTGGTTGACGGAAGTCTATTAATGACAGCCTCTGTGACGTTGCTTGTGACGTTCATTTCCTTATATGAGTGGGATCCAAGGGGATTGTATCTTATCCTGTAGCCTAGCAGTTTTTCCTTGTCCCTGATTGGTGGGATTCTTTCCCACCAGATGTTTGCAGAAGATGAATTGAGAGGGTAACCTTTAACCAACCCAGGAGCATTCTTTGGAGCTAGTAAAAAGGAAAAATAAAATATATTATGCGACAAACACAGCTTAAATTCCCAGGAGTTATCGTTATCACTTATGTACATGCATTGTTTATGATTAGTGGATATTTTTCAGTTGGCTTTCAACGACCTGCCTTTACCAAGTTCTGTCATGTCAAGATGGTCGTTGATATGTTACGCAATTTTTATTGGAGATGTACGCCCGACATATTTCACACTCCTTCCGCTCCGGGAAAAAAAAAAAAACTTAAAGAATTAATTTGCGTTTGGGCGACTGTAATATCTTGGCCAGATTAGTGGTTGTGCATTTTTTGTCCAAACTAAATGTCTGAAATGTACTAAATAGCACAGCCCACAAATGACGTCTGTGTGACTTATTTTCAATGTTATCCTGACTTTGGTCATTTTGTCCTTTGATGACAAAAAAATCCGATAAACATGACATTTTAGTCACAAAAGACAATCAAAGTGAGTAATTCGCTAATGCTTACGGGATTTTTTAATCTGACTTTACGTTCTATAAACTACATAGGTCCAGCGCTATTTAGATGGGCACTGATTCTACCTCTTGGAGGACATTTTGATATATTGCAGTATTCCCATCGAACTCTGGGGTCAGTGGTATAACACCAAAGGTCCATCCGGGGCACTTCCCTCTGGGATGCGACACATGTTGGAGCCATTTTGGCCATCAACTACATCTTGAGGGATCCGCCAGTGACGATGGGGACATTGTGAGGCCCAACGCTGACAAGTACGGCCAGACCGGGTGGTGTTGACAGTACCTCGATAGCCAACACCGATATCGTAAAAACAATCTATGGAAAACACGTGATTAGACTTTACATTTCTGTCTTTCGGGTTTCTCTACATGGGGGAAATTATATTTATCAACTCCCAGGCAGTAGTTTTAACAGGGAATTGAAGGTCTGCCACACTGGATGAAGTAACTTAAAATATCTATCAGAATGATCAGCCGACTTTGTAAGTCTTTCTTGGGCCTGCGGAAAGTCAAGAAGGAGATTGCTCCTTTAATAAATATCATATAATTGACTACAATATACTAGCAAGGTCAAGACTAACCTGTGCTCTTGGTATCATCATCTATAAAGAATTAATGAAAAAGATGAATTTTGGTTAGACGGGCTTTGGCTGTTTCACACAGTTATGGAACTCAGTTCTACCCCATTGGTTCTACGCCGGTTTTCGTCCCTTGGTATGACGTTAACATTCTAGGGCGACATGACTATGCATATAAAAAACTGTTTCAAGGGTGAACGCCGATTGGACCAGAGTAAAGGTGTCCGTCTTAAAGATATCTCAACTTAACTTCAAGCATTGGAGGAACAGTTTAGCTACTGATTTAGCAACAAAACAGGGACGCCAGTTGACGATGAGAAAGCGCGCAGAAAGGACTAAACGCGACTTCCGGTGCCCAAGTCGCCGCTCTGCCACTGGTCAAGCCAGTTGTTTTGATTTTCGGGCCTCTTCGTCAACTGACGTCCCGTTTTGTTGCTAAATCAGCCTAATATCATTTTCTGGTGTGTGTATTGTTGAGTGCCTTTTCAATCTTTTTGTATTACGTCATTTGAAAATTGCACCCGTCCACAACACCAGAAAACTATCCTGATTCTTGAAAAAATTCAAAGTTACTAATATTTACAAAATTTTCCAGGCCCTCAGAAGAAGTATCCCATTTGGAACCTTATTCTCCTAATGACAGACGATTAAATAATACAAGGCTGCCTTCAGTATACAAACCTAGTAGGGGCTGGTACAGGTAGCACTCAGGGGCGTCACCTCCGTTTGCAGCAGTATAAATTGAACAGTTTATCATGTCGTAATCAAATCTTGGGGCAGTCTTGGCAGCGTTCCTAATAAACGCCATCTCCTTTACGCATAAAACATAGTCAAGATGTTCGCACGTCCTACGACAAATCCGCCGAGGTCGTCGTATTCGTAGGTTATATCCGCACGGCTGGTAGTGATAACGGCAAAACAGGTCTCTCATTATGGGTTGACACCGCTCAGATATTTCGAAGAAATTAAAATAGCTTTGAAAAGTAAAAGTTTCCCTGTCACCGTAATCCACGGTCGCCTGGTTGCCAAATAGGTAGAGACTGGTAATAATGCCCTTGCAGAGTGTCCCTTTAGTGTATTCGTGAAGATACAATACTTGTCTCTCGTGGAAGCGTTAACTGGAGGCTCAGCCTGTACACAGCTACAAAAAAAAATTAAGTAGATAAATAAACAAATAAAATGATAATAAGGTGAAGAAATTATTCAGTAGGTTAAAGTTATTACAACGCTTTTTGTTGACACAAGATTAAATGGAACAACAGAAAATAATGATAATGATGGTGATAATAGTGGTGACTACATTTGATCTCAAAAGGAGGACGACTGAAAAGTCATGTACGATTATACTCAATTCAAATGATTGGTAACATTAAGGTTAATCAGTTTGCTTTATCCCTCTCCTCTTAAGAGATCAATAGCATGGAATCGTAAAATGGTATTGTGACGTCATTTATAGCGGTGGAAGAGGTGGATCATCTTTTTCTTTTAGTCCTCGAGGAAGGTTTGTCTTCCGAACCGAAATATCAGGAAAATTTTTCATTATTTTTTTTCATTATTTTGTTTACTTGTTTATCGCGTTGCCGTCAGGATCAGTTTGCCGTTTTAATTTTTCTTTTTTTTTTTTTTTTACAGGGCATTAGTTTATATACATGTAAAGTAAATATTTAGCTGAACGGTTGGATTCAACTTCCACTCAAAACATACAACGTACAGTCAAAAGCTCTGGAATTTAACCGTCAACTCTCAAAATAGAATAATAATAATAGAATAATAATAATAACGATAACAAAAAAAATCTTTATTAACATATGACCAATTTACATTTCACTATCATAGACTAAAACTTTGATGAAATAAAATATTAAAAGATCCTAATTATATAAAAGACTAATTTAAAGCTCACGCCCTTATCGACTTTCTAAAATTAGCGGACCCATTGGCTAGCTTTTTAAGCGGCATTCATGATCATCATATCACCAATTTACATTCCACCATCATAGACTAAAATTTTGATGAAATAAAAATATTAAAAAGCGGCAGTCGTTAATGAAGTCCCCTCGTGGAATTTTGTGGAAGGGTGTCCTGGAACCTCTTACGCATGTAAAACCGACCTTCAAAAGCTCAAAAGAAAGCAATAAACTAAAAATAATAATAATAATAATAATAATAATAATAATAATAATAATAATAATGATGATAATGATAATAATAATTTGCATAGTTAACTATGTTGTTTTTGTCTGTTTAAAAAAAAGCCCCAAAAGAGAAAAGCAGGCGGTCCATCATCAGTAGAAGAGAAAAAGGGCTAGTTTTGGGTAGTCAAGTCCCCTTTCAGTCTACGATTTGGTTTTGCTGGGCATCCCACCCCAGACTGGCCAATAAGCGAGGCATAAGACTCCCCGTGTAACTAGACATGTGACTTCTCTCCAATAAAATCAACGAAAATAGAGGAACTCAAATCCCAAAGGGGAGCATAAAACCGCCATAATAATAATAATAATAATAATAATAATAATAATAATAATAATAATAATAATAATAATAATAATAAAGAAGAAGAAGAAGAAGAAGAAACATGGATGATGTTACATCTACATCAGCAAACCACTGAGGAAATTGTTCTCTAATGGATCATAAATATAGTAACAAAGAAGATACACCAATCGCAGCCGTCCTGCCACCGTAACGCTGGTGAAACTGTGTAACATTATAAACTCATTATTTCAAATAAGATTCACGCGAATATAGTCTTCAATGTAAATGTAGCCTTTTTAAGACACTGAATGAAAAACCAATTGCACAAGCGCACTTTGAACGAGCAATCTTAGGCTAAGAAGAATTTTCCTTCGCTTAAAAAAGCAATAAAAACTTATCTACTAACATACCTTTGAGTTGTTGTTTATAAGTGTCGTATCTCCTGGTACTAAAAAAAAAAAAAAAAATGATTTAATCTCTAGTATTTTAAAGGTATCCAATGCTTAAGCTATTCATTTTGCAAATTGGTCGCATAGCAATTCAGTCGTTGAATCTCTTTAACGTTCTCTTTATAGGGTACTAACAGTTTTCAGCCCGCCAGGACCGACTCTGGTTACTGGCCACAATATTGAGGGAGGAGCCTGGGTGGTTCGTTCTGGACGCATAGTAAAGTCTTGTGCCGTCTTTATAATTGAGACGCATAACCAGACAAACTTCAAATGTTTGCCTAAGTTCGTCAGACGGATAATGCGTCCTTCTTATAAAAACGGACATTATTGTAATTTATTATTATTACAATTTACTTGGCATAAATTCATTCCAAGGAAAACATTGGTGTTTCAAACTGTAAAATAATCTAAAGACAAAAGAAAGATAAAAATGAAACAAATTTAAGAAAAAGCTAAAAATAGCCTTAGGAATGGCTCTCGGTAGATTCCAAAATATAAAATATCAACAAGTCCACAGCAACAAACCAATAGTGGTGCCGGATCTTCCAGTTGTAGACCTGGTTCAGTACAATTAAACTTGTAGAAAAATACGGAACGGCAAACCCCATCCTTATGGGAAGGCGATGAAAAGTAAACTTAAAAAGAATAAAACAAAAAATCTATATTTAAAGGAATTGTTCAAAATTTCGGTTTTGAAAACAAAAACCTTCTTTAGGTACTAAATGAATGAATGAATGAATGAATGAAGCTTATTTAATCTCGGGTTTGATGAGGTTGGTTAGACATCTAACAACAAATATGCTAATGCTAATGAGCCAAGGAAAAAAACAAGGAAAGGCTCTAAAACAAATAAATAAAAAAGGGAAGTCCAAAACTTATTTATAGTATAAAAGCCTAAATACGTGACATAGCTATTTACAATAAAAGCCCTATTACTTAATAGAACATATATCATATGGAATTAGCTAGAACCTTAGCTGTCGGACTGCTTTTTAAAAACACAATGTAATTTGTTCATAGGTAATCAGAAATCTTGTTCTAAGTAATGGACGCCAAGTACTTTAACAGTTCTTGCCATAACGGGTCGTATTAGGTTTAGGTACTACAAGAAAAAAATAAAACTACGTAATTAAAAAGTTCGTCTGAAATAAAATTTGAAAATGTGACAATAAGAAACAATGGATTGTTAATAGTATGAGAGACTAGGTGGTATCATATATCCATCTTGAACCACTCTGTCTCCTTATATTTTAATCAAGCTAATTCAATCAGCGACGTCATTCTAATCACTTTCAAGAAGAACTCCCCATACGCAGCAACCGTGACGCAGTGAGAAAGGCTCGAGAAGCTCATTTAATACACAAAGGTTACATTATCTCCTTAGGAATAAAATATAGACTTGACCCGAGCTCACTGATATATACTATTTTCCTGTCTCCCTATACAAATAACAAATCCATTGTTTTATTGTAAGATTTTCAAATCTTATTTATGTGAACTTTTAGTTTTGGCGCAATTTAATTTGAAGAAGGCTTGTTTTAAACCGATTTTTTTTATATATATTTTTGTTTTATTATTTTGTTTACTTTCATCGCTTTGCCTGAAGGACTGCCTACATCACATTTCGGTTGAGAGATGTAAATGCTGGCTCGAGGAGAGATAAAGTGAGAAGTCCTGCTCTTGTGCCG